AGAAAAATGATAACAACATTCTACAGTATACTAAAAACCAACAAAGAAGACCTACATGAACTAATTATAATAATATATATTATGTTAACAGACATCAATTATATAGTACAACCTGCAATTTATATGGACTATCAAGCTTAAAACACATTGATTCAAATACTTACCACCACTTGGTCATGCTCTATGTAAAATTAATTTATAGCTTGATCATTGAATACTTTATAGCTACCCTACAAACAACATTTTATACTATCAAATCTAAGTGAGTTTTAACCACTCTAGTAGGTTTAAGTTGCAAATAAATTAGATAGATAACAGTCAGTTTCTTTTTATAATTTGAGTTTTACTCTTGTAACAAATTTGTAATTGGAATAGATTTTGTAATTTATATTCAGAGAAGCCTCTGGAGATATCTTTAACAAATTAATTAAGATATAAGCAAAACCTCACCTTAACTCTAAAAAAAAAAAAAATAAAAAATAATAATTTCATGAAAGTGAAATATAAATTAATCTACTTTATAGCATAGTTATAGAGAATATAACTAAATCTAAAAAAAATTATAATAAGATCAATAAGGTTTCAGAATATATACAATTTACTTTTACTATAGTAAGTTAAGAAAGTATTTACTATAGAATACTATATAATTTTACTCTGTTGTGTTGAAGTTTAATAATTTTGTAGTTTAAAATTCTTTATTATATTGAATTTTACTGTATTAATCTCATTATAACTAAATTAAATTATGTAATTAATTCAAAATAACAGATTTAGTAAAGTTTATATTCAGAATTCTTTAAATCTAAAATAAAACTATTAAATTTAAAATTATATAAAAACCTAAAAAATAGATTTAAAAAAATTAGTTAAAGGTTAAAATAAAAATAGAAGGTAAAAGTAAAACTTATTTACAGAAACTCTAAAACTTAAAAGAAACAATTGCATTTTTAATTATAAGAAATCAAAGATATATTTGAGTTCTCAAGTATGTAATTTTATCTTGAAATTAAAAAAAATCAAGTTTCTTATAAATAGAAGGTTTTATTTAAGTTAATCACAAAAATTACAACCAAAAATCAAAATAATTCTAATTTATTATTGTTTAAAATTTCTTAAACTATTTATAATTTAATAATTTACTTGTACTTAAATTGTCAATATAGCAATACTCAAAACTCTATTTAAAATTATATGATTTATACAAAATAATTGCACTATAATTTCTATTCTTACTCAAATAATTATTTATCATTTAGAAAGTTTTCTTTTTATTTAAATATTTTGTTATCTTAATAATTATGATTAGTTAAAACCATCAATTTTAATAATAAATATATTTATAAATAAATAATTCTCTAATAAAGCTAATATAGAAAATATATAATAATACTAAGAAAGAATATAACTATTGCTATGTTAAAAGAAAGAAATTAGATTTTTGTTACTCTTTCAAAGATAATTCACAATATAAACATGACACATATAATTAATGTTCTGGAAAAAAAAATAAGTAAAATAAAATAAATAATCATATAGAAAAAAAAAAAACTCAAAGCACTATTAATAATCTTAGCATACTAATGATAAATAATTATTTAGAAAATTCAGAATCTTTTTCAGGAAATGCAAGTTTTTTGAAATATTTTTAGATATAATGTCATATAAAAAAGATATAAAGAATAATTACATTAATTAAAATAATAGTTTAGTATTATATGAAGATGCAGAGGATAAACCTGTTAATCAAGATAATAATTTAATATTATATAAAGATGCAGAGGATAAATGCATCAATCAAAATAATAATAATTTAATAGCATATAATAATATAAAAGGTGAACATATTAATCAAAATAATAATAATCCAAAGTTGCTTTGATATAATTTAGATAAGATGAATCAAGTTACTACTAAAAAATTTTGAAATAAAATCATCAAATAAACCTGTTAAATTTATTTATGAAGTTGAATTAGATCAAGACCTTATAGTTATAATTCATTAAATCAAGACCTTCTAGTTACAATTTTTTTAGTTCAACTTAATTTAGTTAATAAAAATGATTTAAAAGTAATTAAAAATAAATTTTAGCAGATTGCAAACATATTTATTATATCTTTTGAATTGAGTTCTAGTTATTAAAAAATATATAAGATATATTTAAATAACTAAAAAAATATATTTTTAGGTTCTGCTATAATTTATCTTGGCTATATAATGCATTAAGAACAGGTTTAATAAAAACTAGATGACCAACAACCAAAAAAAAGAAGTGAAGCTCATGTGTTTATTAATAGATATTCTTGTAAAGAAAATATAAAACTTACTATAGATTCAAAGCAGTAATGTATTTTAGTTCAGAAAAATCATTATATTGTATATAAAAAACTTATATATCAATGAATAAAGTTTCCTATAAAGGCAAAAAAATGAATTTAAGATAATCTTATACTTAATATAAAATGTATAGAAATGTATAATCAATTTTGCAGAAACAAGATTATTAATTCAAAAATTTATACAATTGAATAGACATACTACTAGAAGTCTATATATAAAAAAAGTACATATATAATAAATTAGCAAAATCTAGTTTTGTTAGCCAAACTATATTTAGAACAATCTAAATTGATAGAAAAGAGATTTAAAATTCTTATTTATTTAGAAAATGATTTTGTACAAACAATGAGTTTTTTAACACTATTATTTAATATTATCAGTACTAAAAATATAACAGAAGTTATTATTGACTTCATATTTAAAACTAATTATAAAAGATTTAAGCTATTTGTAGTAAATATAAACTGTAAAAGATATGATATACCAGTAATATATATGTATCTTTCAACCTTAGATAGAAATAAAAAATTAAGTGATTGTTTAAAAAATCTTATAAAAATTTATATTGAAATGCTGCAAATATTTTTTACTAATTTTAGAAAAAAAAATTGAAACTAATATTTGTATTAGGAGTGTGGCAACCTAGTAAAGTGGTCAGGTTGTCAACCCTCAAGTAGCAGATCTAGAGTTCAAATCTCATGGATAACAAATTTTAGAAAATAAGGTCTGTGTTATAGTAACTGTCTTTGTCGATCAGTTGGATTTGTGTATCTGTAACCTTTGTTGCATTATCTCGAATGGGAGCTCAGGACATCTATGCAAAGTGTAACATTACACCCACATAGAAGAATGTTAATAACCGGTATTGCATAAGACTTCAGTGCAAACTCATGATAAGACTATCAGGCATAGAAAGCAAATGAACCAAAGAGTTGAAAACCCATTTGGAAATCCTAAGTAAAGAGGTAGCATGGACTTTTGATGGTACTACCGAACTATCAGAAGCTCCAAAAAAGGATTACTAGGACCTCAGATAGATCGGATGACAACATGTATAGAGGAGCATATATCAACTAGGCTATCAGATTCACCGGATGGGCCATCTGGATTGGTAGTTTGGAAAGTCTTGTGGGTCCAGAAGTAGAGGTGTGGAAGTTAGGAAAAGAAGATATCGGGGTCTTTGTAAACTTTACAAAGGTATAGCAGTTTAATGATTAGTCCTGATTGCAAGTAATGGTCTAGGCCAGAGCGGTACTGAGTCAGCTATAAGTATGGGATACAAAAGGCTCTAATGGGCTTAGTATAAAGTTAAATATAACTTAGTAACCATGATATATTTGCAGCAATGACTGCAGTTGATAGGGTAGAGGTAGATACAGGAACTAGAGTATTTAAATAGAGAACCCACAGATGGGTTCTAAGTATGGCAACTAGTGTAGAACCTCCAGGTGGATTACTTAAAATAGACAATGACTAAAGTTGTATGAGTGGCTAGTTGTACACTCTTTCCATAATTGTCTCTGTAGCTGTTGCATACAATAGTTATATGCCGACTGATTATCAATAAACTTCTGGGTTGCAATTACTCACCTTAATATTAAAAAAAAAAAAAACTAATATTTGTATTAATTAATAAAGATCTTGATAAAATATCTTTAGTTAATAAAGCTTAGTTATAGATGATTAATGTTAAAATTTGTTGTTGATATATTAAGCAAACTATTAAGAGAAAAATTAAGTACAAAAAATCAAAAACAAGCACATATTCTATAATTAAAACATTAAAAATACATCACTAATTTAAATTTATTAATCTATTATGGATTCAAGAAAACAATGAATCTTTTTGCTTTAATGATTATACTAAACAACTCTTAAATATAATTCAAAAACATGTTTTTATATATCCTCTTATTCTAATAAGCAAGAACTTCTTTATAATATCAAAAAATATATACTAATACTGTATGCAAGAAATATATTAGTTCTACTATTCATATAATTTAATTAAATTATAAAACTATTTATAGTTAAACTAGTATAATAAAAAAGATTAAAAATTAATTGTTCACTCTTTATACTTATAGACTATTTTTTTTGCAAGCATTATAATAATAACAGAAAGTTATTAAAAGGTTTTAAAATATAAGTACAAATATAATTATAACTGTCTAAGATTAGATAAACTTTTTCAAATTATAGTAAAACAACTTGTTTTAGACTTTAAAATCAAATTTGATCAATATAAAAAGGGTCAAACTTTTTCAATATTGTGAAATAATTTCAAAGTAGATTGGTGTAAAGCTGCAAAAATAAATATTTCATTAAATACAAATAAGAATTATCATATTAATATAAATAATTAGATATATTAATTAGATATATTTTTGTTATATGTATCTTTATAATAATTATAATATCTATAAGCATCTTATTAACAAAAAAAATAATAAACAATTTCTATTAACATTTTTAAAAATTAAAAGATGATATAATTATCTTTTTTTTTATTTTTGGTAACAATAAAGTACCAACTATTACTTTAGTAAATAATCTTTAAACAAGATTTGATATAAAAGTAATTACAAATAATTTTGTTAAGATCAATTCTAACTCAAATAGTTAGTTAAAACTAAATTATAATATAATAAAGAAAAAACAAGAGAAATATGATTAGTACAAAAAAAATTTGTTATCATACTAGAATTATATAAGCAAGAAATAAGTAATAATAATTTTATAAAGAATTTTGATGTATTAGTAATACTATTTTCAAAAGAAATTAATAATTGTAAAATAACATTACAAGCTCATAAGCAGCAAACTACTTGGAAAGCAAAAGAAAAACTTGCCTTTTGGTTATGCTAAATTTGATTTACAGAATAGATAAAAAAGTATTAAAAAAATTAGTTGATATTATAATATATTATAATGTGAAATTTTGTGATTTGTCAATTTGGCTTTAGCCAAAACAAAAAAAAAACAATATCTCTTTTTCAATATATTTGGATTGTAAAATGGATTTTGCTCTCAAAATATTGTTAATAAAATATCATTATCATTAAGAGAATATATTAAAAATCTGTCTTCCTATAATAATAAATTGTGATAATCATGTGAATAAAGTGGTTCTCTGATTGGACGACATCTGATTTACTGATCTACATCATGTGATCTGACAATTTTTTTCGCAATGGCTAGGGTACTCCCGGGCAATTGATTTACGTCAGCCAATTAAACGAATGTCCGACTATGACGTTTGAAATTCGGTTACGATTGGTCAAAATTATATGTTTATCTGTACGCGTAAAAAATTCGTTTAACGCAAATATAATGTCTTTACAAGGCGAGTGTGTAATCTTATTTTGCACTATCAGTCGCGCGCATTCCTACTGGCGTATGGCCATTACGTCCTGCGTTAGATGTTTGGTGCTAGTCTCCAGGGGAGTACTTAAGTACACACCTAAGGCCTGATCCCTGCATGCTAGTATCCAGAATGTGTGTATACCTACTGGCGTATGGCCATTACGTCCTGCGTCAGATGCTTGGGGGCACGCCTCCAGGGAAGTACTTGAGTGAAAGTACTCGATGCTGATCTCTGCATGCTGTTTCCAGTATACCGTTGACTGTGTGCTTCTTCTATTATTAGTTTATTATTAGTTTATCATATACAATATATAATTACATTCGTTAACAACTTATACTTCTTTTTTCTTTCTTTCCAAGATGTTCGAGTTTATTGTAACAGAATATCTCAACAATACAAGATACAAGTCTTGGTCAATTATTTCAATCTTAAAGTACACAAAATCAAAATGTCAATTATATACTGATTCCATTGACAATCTTAAAGAGGATATATACACAGCTTTACGCAAATATAAAGAAAACCCAGATACTCACATGAACTTAGCTAACAAACTGAATAAGATGCTATCTAATTTTGAGAAATTATTTTCTACGATCGAAGTAAAAGAATTTGTCGACAAACTTCGAAAGGAACAAGAAGAACGTGGATTTGATACAGCTCTTCAAATCAATGTGGCATCTGCTTGTGCGATTAAAGCTTTAAAGGTAAAATTGAAATAGTATCAGAAATAAATTTTACAATGGTCTAAATTACAACTATTAGGGCTATTGCATGAATCAAACAGTCATTAATGAATTAAAAAATAACAATTTCGAGGTTGGTAAATTTATGGTTGTGGCCAAATTTATAATTATGGACTGATTTGTTAATCAGATTTCATTTTTACGACATCTTTTAGGAAGGATCTTCAAAAACGAAATCCATTAAAAGAAAAAATAATATAAACGAGGACGATGCGAGCTCAGAGATAGAGAATAGTTCAGAATATGACGAAAGACCAAATAAAGTAAGAGATAAAGGCACTTTTTAGTTTCTTTAAAAAATTAATAATCATTATTTTTTTCAATTCAGATTAAAAAACAGGCTACAAATGACATTGAAGAAGTCATTAGTAATAGCGGTGCAAGTGATAAATCAAATGAAGAATCCTTTGATAGTGGTGTAAGTTAATATCAGATTTAATTTTATATAATTTATTTTATTTTATCTAAGAAATATTGTTTTTGTTAGTATAAAACGCCTCCTACTGGTCCACGAAATATAACAGTTATGACCACTCCTCAAAAACCTACCCTTTTGGCGGATTCTGTGAACTATATAGTCAATCACTTCACAGTAAATATTAATTTGCAATGCGTCATAATGAAAGAAAAGCCAGCTGATACAATTCCAAAATCAATTCGTGATTGGATTATAAATGTATTGTCTGTAAGTTAATATAATTTTTTTTTAATATTATTTCTGGATATAAAATAAATATTAAAAAGACTTTTATTAGTCCGGAAAGGATGTATTCAAAAGTTCCATCATAACTTCGCTAATTCCTGATCACAAATTCCGAAAAATCTGTGAAATTATTCTTTATGACTTGTAGGTATTATTCAGGATTTTACGGCAACATTGATAAAATAGATTAACTTATACTCTTTCAACTTAGTTTTTCAATGGCTAGCAAAAATTCATTAAACCGCCATATTGGAGAACGAAAGTACACAGTAGAAAGAATTGTACCATTGTTTAAGGCGATACAATTCGTCTATAAAGAATTTATGTTCGATTGGATTGAAGTGCAACTTAATTGCATCAAGGATATGAAAACATTGTTTCCAAACTTTGATATGACGCTTAATAAAGCAGATGGTGTTTGTCTGAAAGTTTCAAGTAATAAGGAAGTAGTATTCATTGAAATAGCAGGAGGTCCAGAAGTTACTAGTGCAGTAGTAAAACATGCCAAAGAAGATACTGAAAAACTAATTAAGGAAGCGATGTTTGGATGGGTTTCTCTTTTGAGAGATTATTTAGACAAGAATGTAGACAAAGCAATGAAAATATGTACATATATGGTGCAAGTTATTGGTAATACATTTACTAAATATGTATTGATTCGTTTTTAAAAAGCATAAGTTCATACCAGTAATTTATGTCAGGCGATCGAATTACTCTAAGCGAATTTTGTCTCAATAAGAAGCATTCATATATGGTTTCGTAAGTTAAATCAGCAATGTTATCATTTTCGTTTGACGAAATCGAGAGGTTTTCGAATTACTTCATGCTCTAATTGTAAGTATTTTTTACATATACCAATTAGATTTTTTTTTCTTGAGGGTTTTAGTATAACATCCACATTTGGTTGTTAGAGTAGGCTTGAAGAACAAATAAATGAGCTAAAAAAGCTAATGCTTTCCAACATTATTGAAGAAGAACCAACAATTCGAGACTGGATTTGGGTCCCGAATTCGATTACGGAATGGGAAGTTATAAATATAAATGATACAAACACTTGATTTTGTTTATTTACAAGTTAAAGCTTTAGAAATAAGATACTCTGTTTCTTTTTGAGCATGGTAATTCGTAATAAAAAATAAAACCAGGTTCAAAATGATCTTTAACTGTATAATTTTCATGTATACTTTGAAATTTAGATAACTTTGAAAATAAATTATATTTATAATTCCGCACAATGCTTAATCTTGAAGTAAAAAAAGGCACATATTCGTATGTGGGTGACAAGTTGTCACGCCGAATACTTTGCCAGAAAATTATGAAAAGTAAATACGATTTTCTATTTATCGGATTTTGCATTTACCAACTGTTATCTGGCATTTGAATACGTATTATCATTTTATGCACGTGAGTTACGTTATCCGAATTATTTTAAAATACAGTTGTTTTTAAATATAAATGCCAGTTATTCAAGCACGAACTATTGTACCTTACCGTTATTTGCCATATGATTTGACTGGTCGAATTTCAAGCACCAAAGGTGCTTAAATCGACCAATCAAATAGCATACAGCAAAATAACTCAGTTATTCGGCACTTCGTGCCGCAGTTTATTGATCCAACAAAAAGTAAAATAAAATACTGTAAATTATACATAATGATAAGCCTTGAAAGGCAGATAGATAAATTTTACATGTGGAATTTATTCCAATACATGTTAATGAATACTCCTGTTACAGACAAATTATCGCTGATTTGGATTTATTATTTAATTTTCATATTTATGTTGATACAGCGAATTTCCAAATTTTATAGATGCGTATTATGATATGCAATTCTTTGATAAACTTACGAATCTCTTCTGAAGATAAATAATAACAAATAATAAATAAATAATTTTATGTGCCTTTATGACATTAACTCCGCTATTATATCAAACCATTAACCCTGATTTATTTTTAATTATTAGAGAATTGACACATTCGCATCGCTTATATATTCCATCCGCTACTTTTTTGCATGTTTTGCAATATAGGTGTGATGATGATTTCATTTGTCATAAACCTTACATCCATGCTTCCATCCTCTAAAGATAGCTTGGACGGCAAAGTTAATAAACTATATGTCAAAAAAAATTTTCTCTTAGTCAATCTGATGTCAATATAAATGGTTTGTTATACTTCTATTTGTCGTCAATTCGTTATTCGTGAAAATATTTATAATAACGTGACTAAATTTAATATGTTTAAAAATTATAAATCATAAAGAAAGGAATCTACCCTTAACTAATCTCTTGTATTTTCTGCAATCTATAAGAAAAAGTACTGATTACTACAAATGGGTTAGTACACAGCAAAACCATGCTCTGAGTATATGTAAAATATATACTCAGAGCATAGTTTTGCTGTCTACCAACCCCAAATGTAAGATCTATATCAAATTCTTTATTGTTAATCTATATAGTTTGTGATAATGTTAAACCTTGTGATTTATGACTCGTACTGTGTACAAGATCCTTCTGAATAATAGACCATGTACTATACCTGGGTACGGATCTCAGAATCTTAATTGAAATATATTTCTTTTCAAAAACTTAGATTACATGTTATAAACTCAGGGTGTATATGCGTTTCAAATTTTTACATTCTACAATATAGACCTCAACCATGTACTATACCCGGGATCTATTAAAAGTTTAGATTGGTGGTATTTAGCAGACATGGATCTTGCATACAGCCATTTTTCAAACAAGACACAGGGAATTGCATACTAGAACAAATTCCTAATTTCCTTCTCGAGTATACTCAATTGGTATGTATCACTTGTCATTTGGCATAAAGTTGTTCATTTCTTTCACTAATAATATTTTGCTATATTATAACAACTGCTTGTCAGGAAACTTTGAAGCAGACCTTTTTCATTTCTTGCAGCCTTCTGTTTAGAAGTATTACCTTATTCCTCCGAAAATAAGCACCCCTGGCCTACACTATGACGACATTGGCCCGCTTTACAATAATTGTGACCCTCATTACATGCAAAAAAGGGGGTGCCTATTTTCGGAGGAATACGGTAATTCTTTTGTTCTTTTGCACTTTAAAGGCATCATAATAAATTATTTTTTTAATGATCAAATTCGTATCCATCATTATGTTCGGTACGTAAAATTATGTAAAATTACCAACCCTAGCTGTAACTTTTAATTGTCTTAATTAAATTTAGGGCAATTCCCCGCATCATTATATTAAGACTCCGTGAACCTACTTTTCCATCAGAGAAATCGATGAAATTTATGATTTACATTAGAGATAAATGCATTGTTAACCATTAACTAATAGTTGATAGTCATTACACTAATTACACAAATATATAATTTTTAACTGGGGTTATCTAATCTAAAATTTAGTGTTACAGTAATAAATTTAAGATCCATAAAAGGTATTTGATGACAAAATTTTTTTTTGTTGTACTCTATCATAAAATGTCGGAAAACTCAACTCGTATAGTATCCGCATTATATATTTATCCCATAAAATCATGTAAAGGTATAGAGTTAAAATCTTGGAAAATTGGACAATATGGATTCAAATACGATAGAAACTGGATGATTATTGATGAAAAATGTGAAGTTGTGACTCAACGTGAACATTCAAAAGTAATTGTTAAATTCATCATGCATTGTCATCAAGTAATTAAGGATTCTTATTAAAATAATCATCGCAAATTCTCTTAACCATTAAAGCTCGTCCTTATAACACCAAAGATTGAAGAAGTTGATCCCGAAGATGAAAGCAAAGGAGGGGATCTTGTACTTTCCGCTCCTGATATGGAGGAACTACGCTTACCACTTTTACCCAAGTATTTATAATATTGTCTTCAGTTGTTTTGAATCCTGAATTAAAGAATTTGACTTAACAAAATTAATATTAATTAGCGAATCCGATTATATTAAATATAAGGCTACTATTTGGGATGATATCATTGATGTATGTGATTGCGGTGATGAATCTTCAAAATGGATTACTAAATATCTAGGAATTTCAGCTAGAATTGTGTTCAAGTCAGATGATAGACTGATTACTAGAAATCTTCCAAAAGATATTGGACATCAACCCAAGGTAATAATATTATATGTTAATTTTTTGATCATCTCAGTTTGGATTTATTTTTATGTATAATAACTTCTGTTCTCTACAATTTTGAAACATTAAACACCTAAAAAGATTGCATTTGCAGACGGATATCCATTTTTACTTTTATCAGAAGAATCTTTAAATGATCTCAATAAACGATTATCTAAACTAGTTGATGTCCGAAACTTTCGTCCAAACATAGTTGTTCGAGGGTGTAATGGTCCCTTTGAAGAAGACACTTGGAAAAAAATTATTATTGGTAACGATAAAGAAAATCTGTTTTTCGTTGCTTGTAGATGCACTAGATGTACAGGTAAATAAAAATAAAAAAAGTTCAGAAATTGTGTTCATGTACTACAATGCATGAAAATCATTCATTATTATTTTATAGTGCCAAATGTAAACCCGGACACGGGTGAAATAAACAAGCAAACATTAAGAACTTTACAATCATATCGCAGAGTTGACGCAGGAGCTAAATACTTTTCTTGCTTTGGTAATTAATTCAATTTATCTAAGAATCTAATCAACTCATATGAGCTATCAAATTTTTATACATATATTTTTTTTTTACTTTATTGTTTATTTTAGGAATGAACATTATTCATAGCAGATCTGGTATTTGTTTGTTTATTTATTTAGCTTAATTATAAATCTGGATTAATTCATAAACTTATTTCATACAGGCATTGTGCTTAACGTTGGTGATCTAGTGACTGTAATTTCTACTGGTGAACACATGCGTGAACCCTGGAAATAATCGTTTATTGAAATATGTTTTGGACTTCAAAAACATTTTGTTATTCGTTATTATTTAGAGTCATAATTATTGAAACATGATTCTGATTTTTGCTTATCGTATCAAGTTATTACGTTCGTCAACGAAAAGTCACTTATTAGAAACTGGTTTGAGGACAGTCTAAGGGTTTTCAATCTGTGCTTATCAATATGATGCAATTAGTGAATTGACTTGCAAACAAAAAACATTTCTAGATCATTGACCAAAAGGAATTTTGCTTAATCGATCAAAAATTAATTATGTAAAATTGATAGAGTATGTACTGTATTTTCGCGGAATAACACCTACCTGCACGTTATTTTGAGTATATGTGCGTTAATTAGAGGATTATGCACATAGGCGTTATGTCGAGACAAATATTGATTTTTTAATAAATTTGCTTTTCTAAGTAATGACAATGTCTGTGTTATATATAAGCGGTAATGCCAAAAGAATACTATTTGAGAGAATGCAATTTTCTAAATAACGCCCATGCTGTTATTTCGCGAGAATACGAAAATTTATAAGCTCGAGTACATATAATCAATCAATAATAGATAGAATATTAAAAAAAAAAAAAATTTTTTTTTAAAAGAAAATAATAATGTATTTTATTTTAAAATTTTATTGATTAATGATTTATTGAGTCTACAAAATCATGCTCAATTATTGATTCAACTCGATCAATAAAATCGATCATGATATAGTCAAGTGAATTCGCTAGATGTAATATGGCTAGGCGTTGAGAAAAGGAATTGACAAAATAATTATCTTCGAAAATCATGAAAATATAAGATTTTATTACTTTTTGTTTCAGATGAAAAGTAATCCTAGTCTTGATTTATGTAAAAAATATTTTATTGACTTCCACCTTTTTCTAAGCAAAAATTTTATTGATCCTTAATAAATTAAATGTGACAATTAAGTATCACACATCCTGATTAAATTAGGGGTTCAAGTTTTCAGTCTCTGCAAAATCAAATCGTGCTATTTCGCTTAAGTCATGATAAGAGGTCTTTTTTTTTTAGAATACACTTCAAAAGAACTTTGTGCGCAACGTAACCTTATCCACGCGCGAAATCGCGATGTCTCTATCCTAGATTATATTTAACTCCGAACAGAATTATAAATAAGTTCAAAAAATTTATTTAATATTGGCTAGACACGTAACAAAATATACAATTCAGCTTTCCCAAAAGTGGGAATGAATCAGTCTGGTCCTGTCCGTCGCTATCTCTAGTAAGACCAATAATCCATTACCGTATTGACACGAAATTTTGAATATATGCATATTATTTCATGGGCTTGATACCTTATAGGGATGCGCGTTATTTAGGCACAATTTTCTAAATATCACCAATTCCCATTATTTCGTGGCAATATGGTAGTGTCTTTTGGTTCGGTTTCAGTCCCAAGAACTGTTTAAAAAATTTTTGCTTTCAATATAATTTGAATCTACAATAAAAATATAATAAATTTATCTTTTCAAATAAATTCTATAAAGTTGTATTAGAAACCATAATGCTAAAATTAAATATAGCAAGTATACACCTGATTTACTTTGGTATATTCGCCATTACCCGATATATTACCGATACAGCACGTTATTTACCCGACACTTATTCATCTGAAGTGCACGCTATTTTGGGACGCGAATGGGCATTATGCTATTTTTAAAGGATACAATTTTGAATGGTCATTCTTGTAGACTATTAACTTTTTTAATCTGTACATATGGGCCACTTTGTATCACTATGCAGAAGAGAGAACCCAGTACCCTAAACTTTTTGATAGTGAAACAAGTTATTTAACAATGCAATTATCTGACAGACAGCTCACTAGAGGTTTATTTTTAGTACTACACAACAATGACAAATGGCATGGCTTAATCTGTTTAGGGTAATTAGATGATAATCTAATGGGTTTGATGCACGTTCATTAAATCCTTCTTGCATAATAGTGCAGAATGTACCCTCAATAAATCAAACAATCGCTCTAATCATTCGTCAGATCAGACCAATCAAAAAAATTGAATAAATATAGTGACTCGATACTAGGCCAATTGCAACAACTTAGCCGTATGTCTAGTTAATATAATTGATGATGGACCAAAAAAGCATGTTTTTGTAAAAATTAGATCATTTAGAATACAATATTAAAAAACTACAAAATAATTTTTTTTGTCTCATCATCTTTTGCTGTAAGGGTCTTATCATATTATTATATAAGTTTTCTAGATATATAAGTAGGTAAACAATATTAATTTTTTGTTAATAATAAACTGAATTTTTCACTTTTCATTGCAAAATTATAAAAAAAGAAAAATTAAAGATAACAAAAAATATTATTATTTTATAAGATATTAGATTAAAGAATATGTTTTTAAATGTTATTTATTATTATTATTATTAAGATTAATGTTAATAATGATTATGATTTTTATTAGTATTTTTAATTATATAACTTGTACAAGATTAAATGTAATATTATATAATATATATTCTATTAACATTTTAATATTATTTTCAACTTAATTATATATTATATATATAATACTTTTATTTTAGTATTACTAAACACATTTTTAGGTAATGTAGTTTTATAAGAAACTACTACAGAAAAAGTATACAATTGGTTACATATGAAACTTTTTTATATTACTTAGTTAAGGAGTTTGCTTAATGTTTTTTATCAATTGTTATATTTAACATTTCTGCTTAGTTGTTTTATTTTAAACCCTTTAAATCTGTTTTGTATTAACTTCATTAGATTATACCTAGATTATTGTCTCAACTTTAAGACAAATTTATTTTTAAAATACATTTTTTAGAGTATTTGCATATTTAGTTTATAGCTTGATTCAGTATTACTATAATTAAACTAACTCTTGCAATTAGATTTAATTATTAAATTGTTATGCTCTTGTAAAGGTTACTTAAACTCTAGCATTTATTTTATAGTATATTTCTAATACTTTAGTATATTTCTACTTCTGTTTTCAAACTTTTAATTCAAATAGCTTATATAAATTATAACTAGTTTATTAATATATTAAATTAGCTTAATATATTTTTTTTAGTTTTTATGATTAGAATTTTGGTAGTCTAATTGATAATACCTCTATTCAAAGATTCTTATTTATTCAAATATTTTATATTGATATCTGTTTTCTAAATTTAGTCTTTATAATAATATTATTAAAATTTTGTATTACTTTTTTATTTAGGTTTTCTTAAATAAACTTCTTGTTTCTCAATTTTTATAAATTTATATAGTTACAAAAACTTATATAGAATTTTACTACCTAATGTCAGTTTGCATTCTTTTATATAACTAGTTATACAGATGCTTTATGTTCTGCCAATTATATTAATACAATTATAATTACAAATATATTAATTCAATTATTTCTACAACTTTATCTTATACATATACATCATACTTTTCATTATGGAACTTATTAATTAACTTTATTAATTCATATAAAATTCAAATTATTTTTTACAAAGTCATTGCACATCAAGATAACATATATAATAACCTTATTGACCAACTGACATGAAACTATTACAACTTACCATATCTAACTTTTATGCCTTACAATATCTATAACTCATCTTACATTCTAAATCTTAAAAACTTTCCTTTAGAATTACCTACTTGTCACAATATTTGTACAATTTGTCATGCATATATTTATGCACTATGGACTACACAAAACTGATTTTAAAAATGGAACAAAATTTTTAACCAAATTAATTGGCAAATCACTTGGCTATATATTAACAATAATCAAAAAATCTCAAACTTTTTATATAACTTTCAATCTTCTGCTTTTAAATCTTTTAGAATTAAAATTTTACTTGATAACCTTCCTACTTTACATATTCTTCACAAATGATATCATTCATATCTACCAACTTGTTATCAATGCCATGAAACTAGTTCTCATCTCTATTGGATAATATATCCATTTGACCAACTGTTATACAATCTTATTGATAGTTCTTTACAATATACTCTAAACACAAATACACTTGACACTATTTCAGAAATGATAACTAAACTATATTGTCAAATTAAACAACTGTATTGTATGACTATACACAATACAGTAGACCTACTATTAGTCTTTTCAACTTTATTTGGCTTAGTGCTATATGAAATTATCTCTCTATCTCAAATTTATCATCTAAAAAATTAGCTACTACATTTGTTATTAAATTTTTACTTCATTTTAACCAACAAATATATTACAAAATTTGGATTCTCTACTGTATTTCAAGATCAATATTCCATTCTCCTACTTTCAACTCACTCTCAAATCCTATTTTATATTCACCTTAATTATTTTTTTCTAATTCAATTTGTTTTAAAATTAACTTCTAATATATATAATAAATCAAATACTAAACTAATTTTTTATATATAATTACTAGCAACTAAATTTAGATGAGTCTTGGTTACTTCTGTTGGTTTAGATCACAGATAAACTAGTCTGAGTTTCTACTCTTTTTATAATATTTTTAATAGTAAATTTATACTTTATGTAAAAATTTTAAATAAATATTCAATAAAGATAGAGGCATGGCCTTACTATTAATATTAAAAAAAAAAAAAATTAATTCAATTATTAAAAACAGTTGTTATAACATAGTTTAAAATTTTAAATTTTAATATCTATAAGTTTTAAACTTACAATTTATTATTTGAAAGATTAACAACTTATCTATTTTACTAAGTTATTATACTTCTTTATACTTAATCTTATTTTTTTTTTTTTTAGTATTATAGTGACCTCTTTGGTCTTTTGACTTTTATTAATCACTTATTAGTATTGTGGTTCAATAAACTACTACAGAAGAGAGTACAATTGGCTATATATATAACTTTTTTATATTACCTATTTAAGGAGTTCACCTGAAGGTTCCCTACCAATTGCCATACCTAACACCTCTAGTTGGGTGTTTCACTTTAAACTC